CGATCTTTAGTAAAGAATTAAAACATAACAATGATTTTCTTTCTTACCAATCGATTTTGATTGTAGATTAATCGAAGTTGGATCATTTTTTGTTATTGTTGATTTTAATAAACGTTCAAATTGTTCACATTGTTCTTTTAATATTTGTGGTGTTTTTTGGTCATCAGTTAATAAATAATGTGAGTGTTCATTTGAAAAGCATAATAACTCGATACATGATGATTGACCATGTTCTGGACTGTAATTTCGTCCAATTGAGTATACAAAAAATGGAAGACTATCAGTTGAAAAATTTTTTCGTATAAATGGTGCAATTAATCCAATTGGAGAAGCTAAAATACATAAATAAAGTCAGTTAGTTAAGTTAATGTAAGAGTTTATTTACCTGTTCCATATAAATGATATAAATCAACTGTATGTTCTTCATCAGGATGTTCCTCTAAACAAATTAATTTAGCTGCTAATCTCTTGGATAGAATACTGCATTTATATACGCATACATACCTATAATATTGAAACCATTCTTCATATCAGCAAAATTTCTTCCAAATGCTTCAATTACAAATGATTTACAAACATTAACACTTGAACAAAAATTCATATCATGTCTATCCAATTCATTATTGAAATATGATAATAATAAATATTCCAATTGAGCACTAAATAAATAAAAAAATATTTTTAATATAAGAAAATAAATAACTGCTTATTGATGATCACACACATACACTTACAATTCACCAAAAGAATATTTTGAAAATGGTGTAGCATCTTGTTTAATTACTTCTGATAAATCACGCCAAGATCGCATTGTTAAACTCGATTTTCGTTGTACACCATGTTCAAAAATAAGTTTTACATCACCTTTTTCAGGAACAGCGACATGCAATGCATTAGGTAAACGTAAACAAGCTACAAGAAATTTAGCATTTAATGGTTGTAATTGTTCACGAAATTGTTGAATATTTGTACGTAGTTCAGCAACTTTTTGTTTATAATAGTTTGATTGTTGAGGATCATGGTGACTATGTTGTTTTAATAATTCTGAGCAATTTAAATATTCTTGTGTTGTACTATTGATTTGTTCATTAAGTGTTTGCCATTTCCTAAAGTCAGCATAGAGTTTATTCACATCAACAATCCAATGACGACGTTGTAAATTAATTTGTAATTGATCACGACTTTTAAATAATGCTTCAAGATCAATATCAGGCTGAACAATAGTTGGAAATGGACTACCTACACCAGGCAATATAGCTGAACGTTCTTTATATTGTGCTATACGATCAATAATTGAATCGAATATATTGCGACAAGAGGGACAAAATAAAAGAGATTTTGATATATTTATCGACTTAGATCGTTGACGAAATGAGTGAAGCATTATTGATAATATCTAAAAAATAACTTCATTTTAGATTAAATAATGGACAGTATTTATGAAAATGATGCCAGCGTCTCGCAAGAAGATGAAAAACAGAATCATGATAATGAGGTATGTTTCCAACAAATGTTTTTTTCGCTCGTGCGAGTTGTTGACAAGGATGAAATTAAATATTCATCGTCCAACACTAAATTCTATTCTTCTCAAGAATTGATCTCTGTTATATTTTTATGTTAGATGGACGATGATCAAATAATATCCATGAAAGTAAAAGAATTGAATGCACTATTAAAAACGATGAAACCAGCTGAAGCACAAGTAGTGAAAAGACGTCGACGTATTCTAAAAAATAAAGGGTATGCTGCAAGTAGTCGTAATAGACAAACATCAATGGTAGAAAATTTATCTGTTGAAAGAAATCAATTAGTAAAACAAGTATGTAGTGTAGCGTAATCGTTTATTATAAAATATAATGAATAAATTTCTTACATTTAGATTAATCATTTGCAACGAGAAACAGATACACTCGATCTAGAATTACGTGCTTGGAAGCAACGATGCACTGATTTGAAATTATATACAGATACAGAATCAACAACCGATATGAAAGTTTGAGAAAATGAGAAATCCAAATATATTCGTTTAATTGCAATTGTACTGTAATTATCTAAAATTTCTGTCGAAAAACTATTGCTTTTTTTTTGAAATTATCAATCTTTTCCTAAATAAATGATATTATAGAAAGTGAAAAGAAAGCAGCGTTTGTTAGAGTAATATTTGACTAGAAATACGATTGTGAACATTGAGAATAGGTACTTCATGAGTTCCGTTCTCAATTCTACAGTGTTCCTCTTCCTTACATCATCTAGATCAGACTACTACTTGAAAGTAGAACCGTTTTGATAGATATTAGGATAAATATTCATGCAATACACAACCAGAGTAAAAATATTACTTGGTCTACTTCTGAGCTGCATCCTTGAAATAAATGTACATTAATACAAAGCTGTGTAAATGCATTTCTCCTTGGAGATCATTTTTTCCTAGCGCTTCTTCTTTCTGCGTTTTCAACCAGTAAAACTAACCTAAAGACTGCTCTTTTTTTACTGGAACTTGAAATATTTTAAATGTTACTCTTGCTTAATCATTCAAAAAGTGCAAATTTTTCTAGTTTAAAATTTTATCTGTCTAAATTTGTTTTTTTAAAAAACACGAAATTGTTCGTTTTAATCACAGATCAGAACGCGTGGTTCTGCAATCGATAATCGAAATATTTCTGTTCAAGAGTATTTCGAGTTGTAATAGGAAAAATTAACAGTTTTCTCAATTATTTGTAAATCGAATATAGAACTGCTATGAATAACATGACTTTCAGTCTTGAAAATACTTTATTCGAGCTTTCAGTTGGCATCATCAGGAATGTAATAGATATTCGAACAAACGATGGTATAAAAAGAAGAATAGATAAGAAGGATAGAACAGAAAAAGAGAAATAACTCAAGGAGAACCTGTAGTTGGCATAGCTGCGCGTTTTTTTTTGTTTTTTTTTATAACTCATCAGTTCGTACATCAGTTCGCTACGAACTGATGAGTTTTTTCGGTCGCGAAACTACCCCAATGGGGTTAGGAGAACACCTGCAATATGTGATCTGTGTCATTTATTGCTTTTTCTAACTTCTCCTGTGTTAGAATACTCTCTTTTATGGTTCTACGTTTCCAATCTTGTTCCCAGGCTAATACGAACTGATGAGTTATAAAAAAACGTGCAGCTATGCCAACTACAGGTTCTCCTTGAGTTATTTCTCTTTTTCTGTTCTATCCTTCTTATCTATTCTTCTTTTTATACCATCGTTTGTTCGAATGTCTATTACATTCCT